ATGCCTGGAACTCTTTCTAGTTCCCGTGGTCTTCTTCTTGGCCTTCTTCTCCGGCACCACATGAGGTGCCAGAACCAGCAGCCCCATCAATCGGGCGTCCGCTGGGTCTTCTGGCAAAGGAGCCGGATAATTGATCTGTCCGGACCTCTTCTACCAGTCCTGTCAAAGGAACGGGAGCTTAGATCCCGCATAGAGTCAAACTATGAGAAACAAATATCCTGTGACGGGCAGAATGAACTTACCGCGCTGGCTTGGCGCTTCGCAGACTCCGCGATCCTTGGTAGTGGGAGGGTGAACCTCGGAGCCCTTGAATAGCACCTTCCAGGCATCTTCGTGCGTTGTGTCGAAAAGCCTGGACAAAGTTTGGTGCTGGGCCGGGTTGAATTCCCACAGGTTAAAGGCCCGTCCTTGACACGGGAGGATGCGGCGGAAGAGCATGACCTGGACTACGGTGACGAGTTTAACCTTCTTGTCCATCAGGTTTTGGACGCAGGTTTGGAGTCCGGTCACCTCTTCTGAATTACCCCACGACAGGCCCGTCTCTTTCCAAGAGGTGAGCCATGTGGGAATGCCAGATCGGAATTCGGGGGCCGCTGCCCATTCAGTGTCGCGCGGCTCGGTGATGTAGAACCACCCCGATTGCCACCCCTTGATGGTTTCCACTAAGGAGCCCTCGAGCCATGTGACATTGGGCATTTTGCCCACCATGGCGCCTCCGCACTCCGCTTGGCGCCCGCCCACTACCTTCGGCTTGACATTGAAGGTCTTCAACCATAAGTCGAAGTGGGGCTGGATGCGGAGGAAGGCCTCGCACACTAATTCGGGGCTAGATCGTGGAAATCCAGGCCATAGTAGAACATGAGCCCCCGGACAAATGGGTGAAGTGGAAAACCTAGTCTGCGGAGGAAGTGGGTGAGGAACACCACCCTCTCATGGGGCCTAGGGGTGGGGATGAGTTGCCCCTCATCTGGGAGCCGGTGCGCGATGCCGCTGGACAAGTATCCGGCCTTCCTCAACTTTTTGATGTGCCCCTCTATGACGGAGAAGGCCATCCACCTACCTCCCGCTCCGGACATGACTGGAGAAGGTTGAGGTGGGAAGTGCGGGCTTGGGCGTTGGAGCTCGAGTGCGCGGAGATGGATAAGCAAAGGAGGAAGAAGGCGTAAATGGAAAGAGTGGATTCTTATCCCCTTATATGGGCGGACGAAGCTATGCGTCCCCACCAGCCTGGTAAAACTCACTTATCTCCCAAGCGCCGTAATCAATGGCGCGGTTGGGTTTCCCACGCCCGTATTGATGAGAATCCCGGAATAAGGGGACACAGTCTCTGCTTTGACAAGATGTGCCAAGGAAACCGCCTCACTATACGCGCTGAGGTGGGACAATAAAACGATTTGAATAAAGGCTTGGCCGCTGTGTGATGTCACGCCACGGAATACGTCAGCAGATTGAATTTGTGTGAATATTATTCTCTCTACGGTGGTATGTGGAACTTATTTTGCAGAGCCGGACACTATCCTTGTGTTCAAAATCTTCTATGAAGTATTCGGAGGAGGAACCCGCCTTGCAATGCCGAAGACAATATGCGGGCCGGACTCGTCGTCATTGAAGCCTGGTTCAGGGGCTACTGAGGGAGTCCTGGATTAGGGGGTGTCCGGATAGCCGAACTATCACCTTTGGCCGGACTCTTGGACTATGAAGATACAAGATTGAAGACTTCGTCCCGTGTCCGGGTGGGACTTTCCTTGGCGTGGAAGGCAAGCTTGGCGATACGGATATGCAGATCTCCTACCATTGTAACCGACTTTGTGTAACCCTAACCCTCTTCGGTGCCTATATAAACCGGAGGGTTTTAGTCTGTAGGACGAACAACAATCATATCATAGGCTAGCTTCTAGGGTTTAGCCTCTTTGATCTCGTGGTAGATCTACTCTTGTACTACCCATATCATCAATATTAATCAAGCAGGAGTAAGGTTTTACCTCCATCGAGAGGGCCCGAACCTGGGTAAAAACATCGTGTCCCTTGTCTCCTGTTACCATCCGCCTAGACGCACAGTTCGGGTCCCCCTACCCGAGATCCGCCAGTTTTGACACCGACAGGGGCACAACCCACCAGGGCGGGCCCAGGTGGTTTATACCCACCTCGGTGGCCTCCCGCACCGCCTCTTTGCTCTATAAATACCCCAATATTCCAAAAACCCTAGGGAAGTCGACGAAAATCAATTCCATCCGCCGCAAGTTCCAGAACCACCAGATCCAATCTAAACACCATTATGGAGGGGTTCATCATCCTCATTGGTGCCTCTCTGATGATGCGCGAGTAGTTCATTGTAGACCTACGGGTTCGTAGTTAGTAGCTATATGGCTTCATCTCTCTCGTTTGATTCTCAATACAATGGTCTCTTGGAGATCCATATGATGTAACTCTTTTTGCAGTGTGTTTGTTGGTATCCGATGAACTTTGAGTTTATGATCAGATCTATGTTTTTATCCATGAAAGTTATTTGAGTCTTCTTTGATCTCTTATATGCATGATTGCTTATAGCATCGTATTTCTTCTCCGATATTTGGGTTTTGTTTGGCCAACTTCATCTATTTATCTTGCAATAGGAAGAGGTGCTTTGTAATGGGTTCGGTCTTACGATGCTTGATCCTAGTGACAAAATGGGAAACGACACGTATGTATCATTGCTATTAAGCATAACAAGATGGGGTCTATTTCTACATAAATAAATCTGGTATACATCATGTCATCATTCTTATTGCATTACTCCGTTTTTCCATGAACTTAATACACTAGATGCATGCTGGATAGTGCTCGATGTGTGGAGTAATTGTAGTAGATGCAGGCAGGAGTCGATCTACTAATCTTGGACGTGATGCCTATATAACGATCATTGCCTGGATATCGTCATGATTATTTGAAGTTCTATCAATTGCCCAACAGTAATTTATTCATCAACCGTTTGCTATTTCTCTCGAAAGAAGCCACTAGAGAAATCCACCGCCCCGGGTCTCTTGTTCAATACTTGCCTTCGTGATCTATTTTTATTTGTTTTACTTTCAGATCTGTTAATCCAAAAATACACAAATACCTTGCTGCAATTTTTAGTAATTTATTTTATCTTGCGTTCTTGCGAGATTTATTTATCCAGTCTACTACAACTTTGCCAATCTTTTTACCCGTGAGGGACTGACAACCCCTCTCATGCTTTGGGTGCAAGTATTTGGTCTTTGTGTGCAAGAGTTGTCCATGTTGTCCATGTTGCACCTATCCATCCATGGTGTCCATGTTGCACTCCTACTCCATCTCCGTGCCCGCCTCCGCTCCTCTGCGCCAATGCAAATTCCTACAAAAAAGAAGTCTGCTTTTTTTGTGCAAACATTGACAAATATTTTCAATACTTGCAAAAGCTGATCATGAAATGTCATCCATAGAAGTCGTGGGGGGAAATCAGCACTTGAGAATGCTTTTGAAAATAACTTTTTTGGATCATCAAACTTTTTGTCACGACTTCCAGAGATGTCATTTCATGATGAAATTTTGCAAGCATTGGAATTTTTTGCTAGTGTTTGCTACAAACAAATTTCAGATTGGTCTGATAGTCTTTTTCTTCAGATTTTACTTTTCATCCAAGCTCATATGAAGTCGAGTTCAGTTACTCCATGTTCACCAAACATAGCTTAAACAATTTGATAAAAGTTTCAAACAAAGCAATAACATCATCATGGTGAACGGTAGGAGTGGCAACTCAGTCTTTCCACTGTCTCCTTCTCCTGAAATACATGTAGTGAACTCCCCGTCGGTGGTGATTCCAACTTGAGAGATTCCGAGTCAAAAGAGTGTGAAGAGAGGTTTCGAGGAGCAGGGTTGAGGCCGATGAGGACAACCACTTTTCACAGGTTGGTCCTTCGGCTCAAGAACACAGCTCGTCAGCTGATGAGTTGGAGGCTTGGAGCGATAAGTAGGTGGAATGTGTGAGGTTGCAACTTACAATGGCTCGTGGGCTGCTTTTCGGCTTAGTGCGGCCATGGAATCGCGATAGTTTCATGCTAGGCTTTAGCGCACATACCTAGGGCTCGATGATGAAGCCCGCCATGGCATGACAACGATCGAAGAATGTTTGGTTGAATAAGAGCGACAATAATACAACATTCTTTCACCGTGCACTAACACACCTCCTATCAAAAGTAGATAAAGGTGATCCAATGTTTATTATTACATACTTTTTTTTCAAAATATGGTTATCCAATCCACTCCATCCCTTCCAACCAAACAACAAAAAAGGGCTATTACTGACCACATGGTTGCGAATATTCTCAGCCAACTCAACCTTGCCAGCGGATCAAACACAACCCTAGTGGCTAGCAGTGGGATGGCGTCCGACCACGCGACCACTTTTAACCTGGTGCAAGCGAGCATCACGAGTTTGCACCCAGACAAACTAGGCTCACGGCTTCACGCTAGGTGGAGTTGACCATCTTAGGCAATATTTGACCTGGTTCTCGATGGCTAACAATGGAGTGGTGTCCGGCCATGCGGCCATAGCCGAAGTTGCTTTCAACCACTTTAATCCGGTTCTCGGTGTAAGCGAGCATCGCGAGTTTGCACCCAGACAAACTAGGCTCACGACATCACGCTAGGTGGACTTGACCAGCTTAATTAGGCAATATTTGATTGCCATTTTTCTTTCAAATCAGGAATTAATTCATTCCATTGTTCCAAAAGGGAATCATTAATTAGATAAGAAATTCACAGCAGAAACAATAGTATTATCGACGAATGCGCCGGACCCTGACCCTAATCCGTCGATGAATTAATCGACAACAATTAACCCTAATAAAGTGAAACCCAATATCACACACAAAACTAATAAAAACAGCAAAATCCAATTTTTTTCCCTTCTGGCAAAAGGTGGTGGCAATATTTGGCAGTAATTCATTTCATTCTTGGAAAAGGCAACCATTTACTTATGAAATAAGTAAAAAACAGTGGGGATGCGGCGGACCCGGCCCGAACCCACGGATCGATCGCACTCGGAAGGAATGCCGGCGCCGGCGCAGGCTCCGTCCGCCGCCGGTGGCGCCGGCGGCGCGGCGTGGCGCCACCTGCTCCTCCTCCTCACCGCCCTCCCGCTCGCGCTCGCCCTCCTCGCGTTCGCGCTCCAGTGGCGCGGCGGCGGCGTGGACGACGCCGGCTCCCGCTGGCCGGCCCGCCTGGCCGTGCCGGCCCCGTCGAGGCTGCAGGCCCTCCACTCCTCCGCCGCGTCCTGCGTGGAGGTGCTCGCCGCCTCCGCCGGCCCCGCCTTCCCCTACCTCCGCGGCTGGTCCTTCCACTTCGACGCGCCGGACACCCACCACCCCAAGGTACCGCCTTTCCCAATCTCCCCTCCGTCCTCTTCCTCGCGGGCCGCCGGCCGATGTGTCTGTCCTAGGCAATGATCTTTCGCCCTTGGCTGCCAGGTGTGCGTGCAGACGAGCACCTCCGCCGGCCTGGACCAGATCCTGCCGTGGCTCTACTACCACAAGGTCGTCGGCGTCGCGCACTTCCTGCTCTTCGTTGAAGGCAAGGCCGCCAAGCCCAGCGTCGCCGGCGTCCTCGAGTCCATCCCTGTACGTCCTCACCCAAGATTTCCACAAATCCAGCACCAAAAATCCAGAACCAATTTGTCTGAATCTCTGTCTCTGTCTCTGTTTCTGTTTCAGGGGGTGAAGGTGGTGTACAGGACCAAGGAGCTTGAGGAGCAGCAGGCCCGGAGGTCCGAAACAATCTTCGCTGCCCGCGTGCCTCGTCGGCCTATACACAAATTATAAATTTTGATACCCATTCTGATGATGTATCTATATGTTTCACCTGCAGCCGCATCTGGGATGAAACCTGGCTATCAGGATTCTTCTACAAACCTTGCAACTACGAACTGTTTGTGAAGCAATCACTCAACATGGAGATGGCTATTGTAATGGCCAGGGTATGTATGCATGTTTGTTTCCGGCTTATCACAAGCATTACTAGTATTCAGTTAGTGTATTGTATTTATCGTAAACAAAAAAAAAATATGGTAGGAATCTGGCATGGATTGGATAATGCATCTAGACACCGATGAGTTGCTGTATCCCGGTGGAGCTTCCGAGTATTCCATCAGACGCCTGTTAGCTGACGTCCCCGAGGATGTTGACATGGTTATCTTCCCTAACTATGTAAGTATGCTGCTGCTCCTAATTATGCCTGCCACACTTCTTATGCATAGTAATTAACTTGCTTGTCTGCACTCTGCAGGAAAGCAGTGTCGAGCGTGATGACATAAAAGACCCATTCAGCGAGGTAAACCTTCTCTGTCAGTAAGACATAATTTCCCCAAGTTCCGTTTGATATGACGTTGGCTGAGGAAACAACTTATCTATAAATACTCTGATATGAATTCCATTTGCTCATTTACATCTGAAGACTGATACTGTGATATTATTTATATGTGTCCAATACTCTGATCTGGTTGTTTTTACATTTGCTTGAAAAATCGTTTCGAGTTGTCCTGTTATCTGGGCGGCTTGCCAGACTTCTATTTAGCCTAGTATCCCGGAAATAAGTTTTATGCTCTTTTAGTGTAGACTGGACATGGGCATAGCTAATTTAGCATATTACTCCAAAAGAAAAGAGAAGAAAATGAAAGAATATTAGACCTCTGATATGTTTAACAAGTCATGGCTGACAACAGATTAAGCAACTTTGATGAATTTTGACATTTTGTGATGTTTGTGAAGTTTAATTAAGAGCAATATCGCTAGCTGTATATGGCCATTTTATAAACACTATTATCTTGAAATCTTAGAATGAATAAAATCTCATGTACAAGTAGAAGTAGTGATCAATCATGGTGGCTATGTGGATACTTCACCATAAGATATCTTATCATTAGCTAATTTTTGTACATTGCAATATCTTACCAGGTGTCTATGTTCAAGAAGAATTATGATCATCTCCCCAAAGATACTTACTTTGGCATGTATAAGGAAGCAACAAGAGGCAATCCTAACTATTTCATTACTTATGGGAATGGAAAATCTGCTGCGCGAATTCAAGATCATCTCCGGCCAAATGGTGCACACAGATGGCATAACTACGCAAAGAGCCCAAAGTAAGGGCCTTTGCCCATAGCATCCATTTTTTTCAGAACGTAACTGACAGTGAGACCAAGCCAGAATTGATTCTTATAATATTGTTGGCATGTAACTGACAGTGAGATCAAGCTGGAAGAGGCTGCAGTTCTGCACTATACATACACCAAATTTTCAGACTTAACATCCAGACGTGATCGCTGTGGATGCAAGCCCACGAAGGAAGATGTTAAAAGATGTTTCATGTTGGATTTTGACAGAGCAGTACGTAAAGCTACTCGATTCTCTTGCAAGCTACTACCAGATTTTTGTTTGGTCATTTTTTTTTCCATTGCAGTAGTCCTTCTCCCCTCCAGGATCATTTGCATTTTGCATTCTTATACTAGTGTCAGTGCTTCCTTTTGCATGATTTAGTTGGCTACTGTTTCGGCACCATCTGACTTCAAAATTTACTATGCAGGCTTTTATAATTGCATCAACAGCTAGTGAAGAGGATATGCTTCGCTGGTAAGCTTTTTTGTTTCTTCAGTATCCAAATTTCTACTTTACCCATGGGTTGTTCTCCAACACTCATATGTATAATGATTTGCTGATTGTAGCTGACCCCCAATGATTTGCTTATTCGCAAGTTGACCTTTAGGCTTTTTATTTTATTTTGAGATGTCGTATTCACTGTAATAATTTAGACACACCAAAACCTGGTTTGACTGTTGCTTGATTGCTCTACTGTCAGGTACAACGAGCGCGTCGTGTGGAACGATAAGCAGCTCAACCTAAAGCTTCTGAGAAAAGGAGTATTAACCCGCATCTATGCCCCAATGGTACTCAACAACTCTAGCCACACCATGAAAATGTGTGTCGTATGCAATAATATCCACATACTTGACACGTGTGTGCCTTGGTTCTGTCAGGCGATCGTGCAAGGCCTGCGGGAGTCTGGCGTCTTCACCTCCGTCATCAGAGCGGCCGTCGACAATGCTAAAGTTCGACTGAAGGAAAGCGTTGACCGAAACAGCACTGATCCTGACCATGAAGATGAACCTAGGGCATTCGTCGCAGCTAACGCTAGGAAGATCCTGAACGTCGTCGAGCCTGCCCCAGCCTACAGGGACGGCGGCGCGTCTGCCGCTGTTCCCCCTATGTCGCCCCCGGGTTTGGATGAGGCGCGAGGGGAGGGGCTGGCTGGCTGCTGACTTGGATCATCAGGATGAAAGAATTCTTTTTGCCCATGTAGGTTGGTCAGGTAGTGACAAGAAGAAGATGATCGTGGATGGATGGGCAATCTAGCTAGTGACATGATTTTGGTGATGATACGCTGGACATATGTTATATCCAGAATATATATATATATAGAGAGAGAGTGATTTTGGGCAGGACATATATGCACCCATCTATTTTTGTTAGTAAATGCTAGTGAAGAAAAAAGATGTATTAATTCTTTGAAAAGTCAAATCTCTTTAAGTTTCATCAAATTAGTAGAGAAAGATATCAAAACCCATAACATAAAACGGTATCATTAGATTCATCATGAAAAGAATTTTTATATTTTATTTTATTTTAGTACTGTGGATGTCTATATTTTTGGCTCTGAACTTGGTCAAGTTACATAAATTTGAGTTTCCAGAAAACAAATGGAATGTTTAGTTTAGCGAGCGAGGGAGATGATGGAGTCGGTTTTATTTTTTATTTGTATAATGTGGTGTTTTTGTTGGGACTTCTACGGTGTGATTTTATGTCATCTGCTAATCAACTCATATTTATATGGGAAAATTTCTTCGTCCGTTGCTGCATCTACCATATTGGTAGTACAAGGTCATATGATTTCATTTTTTAGGTGGTTAGAGGGTGCGCTGGATTGATTTGCTTTTATAGGCTCCAAAATTAGGGAGGGTAGTGAATTAAAAGAATTGAATAAGAGAGAAATTGTTGACCAAATCAAAATCGAATGACCTAATTTTAAATTGGAGTCCTCAATTAATTGCAAAATTAGAAAGCATAGTGTATAGTATAAAAGGATTGAACGAGAGAGGTTTATGAAATTCCAATTGAAGACCTCACTTGAATGTTGCCTCTTTAAAACTAGGGAGCATAACGTTATAGAGGATATATGGTCGCTGTAATTATGTTTTTTTAATGGATCTGTGTCATTGTCTCTTGTTTAGGGGGTGGGTACCTGCGCCCACCCAGCAGTAAGCTATGTGCCCGTCGACTGTGGGGCGTATGAATTGACTTTGTCAATCTTACGACCTACTAGCTCGGTCACTCAAAAGTGCTCATCTTCACTACTACTCTCTCGGTAAAGAAATATAAAATAGTTTAGATCACTATTTTGGTGATCTATACGCTTTTATATTTCTTTACAGAGGAAGTATTTAACAAGGGAACTGAGGCAGAAACATTAGATGGTGGTACACGTTGTCTCACGCTACTTTTTGTGCAGTCCTTGCTTCACCTTTCTGTTCTATAAAGCTACACTCGGGTGGTGGTCTCACACAACTCAGAAGGCTTGTTCTGGAATTTGTTCTGGAGACTTCCCGGCCTTGCTCGCGTGGCAGGAGCGGGCAGGACACGCGTTGCGGCGCCTTCACTGCGCCGCCCATGAGGCATCAATGGAAGACTGACCGGCGCGATAGCTTTGGCATTGATTCCCGCGGGAACCGAGGCGATGAGGACGACGAAGGCGGCGAGTCGCTGAGTCGATGGGCCCTTTCCCATTCGCTCCAAAATCTGTTTCCCTGGCGCCCCCGGGTGCCCCAGCACACCAAGTTCGGCCTGGGTCCGCTGGCGTCAAAATCGGCCCGAGCCGGCGAAATTGGGCTTCTGGGGGCGCGGCTAGGCCGAATTTTCGGCGCCGGCGACAAAAAAGGGGCCTGGGGGAGGGCATGTTGGGCTGGAGATACACTAACCACCGATGGAGATTGCAAAAAAAGGTCCTACAATTTTTGATGAGAACATTTTGCCCAATCTTTTATTTAATATTGGTTCAATGCAATTTTTAATCTCCGACAAGAGATGTAAATTTAGAGGAAGAAGAAGGTTAATATAATAATTTTATTTATTACTGCTCATTGTGTTACGACTTGTCTTTTTTTTGACAGGGTAAAGATTTCATTTCTCGGATAATAGCAATGTCATTTACAGTCAAAGAAGAAATGAAATCAGGCGGGTCATCTTCCCAAACAGAATAATTCTTCAGCATATATGCCTGTTTAGCCAAAGCATCTGCTACACCGCGTTTGCTTCTAGGTTGCATAAAGAAAATTTCACTTATCCAAAGTCACGAGAGTTGAGCGCATTCGACAATCGTTGTTGTTTGGAAACCATTGAATCTATAAGGATCTATTACCCCATCAATCACAAGTTCACAATCTGACTCCGCTTCAATCCTCGAGCATCCCACATGAGCTGCCAAATTAATACCATTCCTGAGAGCAATTGCTTCAGTAGAAGCCGCATCGGAAACATGTGGAACAAACCTGTTTTTATTGTGCTCACTATTGTTTTCTTCAATCTATATCTACAACTAATAATAATTGGGCTATTGATTCTGACGACACGTCACCGAAATTGCCCCCAAAGTTGCAAAAAATTACCCATAGATGCCAATATTGATAAAAAATGTTTCCCACACGGGAATCCCTGCCAAGGTCGGCCCATGCAGTAGGAACCTTCTATATCACGCTCTGCGTGCATGGAGAAGACACAGTGCATCTATTTGGCCCGACCAATATGAGAGACCTATTTTCTAATTTTTGTTTTCCTTTTTCGTCTTTTTTTACTTTAAATAATGTGGGATTGAGAAAAGTTCCGAAAATATAAGATTGAGAATTTCTAAATAAAATGTTTAAATTTTTTTGGATTCAAAAAATGTTTGTGATTTTTTGAAAAATATTCGCAATTTTGAAAAGAAATGTTCAGGACATCAAAAAGTGTTCATGATTTATTTTAAAAGTTTGTGTATTAAAACATATTAATGGAATTGAACAATATTTTGACAATTCAAACAATGTTCATGAATAGAGAAATATCCTAAAAATTCACAAACTATTCATGAATTACAAAATAGTTTATTGATTCATAAAATGTCCACTGATTCAAAAAATGATAAAACGTTTCAAGAAATGTTCATGAATTTAAAAAGTTGTTCCACCAATTTTCCAAAAAAAAAAAGATTGTCGATTCTAGAAATGTTTGCCTATTCAAGAAAAAATGTTCACAATTTTATAAAAATGCTAGCAAATAATAAAAAAATGTCGATGGATTCAAAAAATGTTCAGGATTAGAGAAAACATCCAAAAATCCGTAAAAATGTTCACGAGTTTTGAAAAAGTGTACACAGTTTCATGAAAATGAGAGTGATAGTGTATCTTGGCGATGCAACAAAAATGTGGTCATGGCCATCGGAGATTACGGCTTATTTTTCTCCCGTTGCAAAGCGCGGGCCGTTTTGCTAGTAATATGCTGATCAAAATGTGAGCCAGATTTGTTCAGAGATAAATATAAACCATATTCATGTGGAAAACAGCTTAATTTCTTGAATAGGCAAACAAGATTTGTTCAGAAATAAATATAAACCATATTCATGTAGAAAGAAAATAGTTTGTAAGGGGAGAAAAGGAAGGCCGGCCTGAGCGGCAATGGCTGGCGGTAAACCAACTTCCGTCCTAATTTCCCTTCTCCTAGTTAAATTAGTCTTTGCTTAAGCCTGTCGCTCGCTCGCTGTTGCCCTCCACTGCATGGGTGGGTAGACGATAAAGTGTTTATGCGCGTGGGGAGGTGGTGGAACCCGCTTCAAATATGAAACATGGATTCTGGCAATGCAACGGAGTTGGGGTAGCCATATCGGTGAACCTCGTTAACAAATCACGGTGTCGTGCTCGTGTGATTGTTTGGTTCTCGGATGATCAACGATATGCCTTAAATATATTTTAACAAGTGGTATCATGAGCTAGGTTGCCGGGAGGTTGCTGGTTTGTTGATCTGGAGGAAGTGATCGGCACGTGTGCGCGTGGCAGATTGGATCGACAGGGGCAGGCGGCGAAAGCATCAGGCGAGACGCGGCGATTGATCAGGTGCATCAATCGGATCGGACGAGCATACATAAATCCCAGCGAGGTCGGATCGAGCTGGCGACGTATCAAGGTATCGATCGACTCGGTCTCGATGCAGTGAAGGAACGTCGACAAGCTCATGAGATTTGTTTGAGGCAAACAAAATGGAAGACCAATCTGCGGTATTGTTATTGACGTGGCATGGACAACGACACAATAAAGGAAAGGGAGCTTTGTAGGTTACGCGGGCAAAGGCTTGACGCACCCATTGAGACTACCACGGGAGTTAAATTTTCTTTTGGAAGTGTTGCTAGGTGCACATGAGGTTTTACCATCACGATGGCAGATTGGTGATGTCCATCAAGGCTTAGCGTGTCGTGCAGCCGAACAAGTTCAGCTGGATCGGACTAGACAGTCTGACGGATCGATGCAAGTCGGTTGGTACAGAAGACGGTTGTGGTATCAGCGATGACATAGGAGCGTGACGCTGATGGTGACCGACTTCTGGGGCGTGGAAACACGTGGCGCAGGCCCTGAGGGCTGCCACGTGGAGAAGACTATGGAGCGGGATTGATTCAAGACGGTGCGCACATGAGAGGTTGAAGTCAACGGGGCGCGCGGCTGGATTGCTCATCTACCATGGAGTCATGTTGAAGGTGGAGCTGGAGTCTGACGGAAGACTTCACTTGCTGCTGATTGAGGGGTTACGACGTAAGTCGACAGAGAGTCGAAGCCTATTCAGTGGGAAAAAAAGCAAGAGGCACGCAATTCGGACAGGAGCCCAGTGGTCTGATGAAAGCGTGAAACTCATCATCGGTCGGTGATGATCGGAGGTACTCTGCAGTGGGGATTGAGTGGTGTACACTACTAGGAAAAGGCATGCTAGTGGCGCACCGAATTTGCCTTCTAATGGCGCACTACTGGTGCGCCACTGGCATCACGCCATTAGAATTAAATTCTAATGGCGCACCACATGTGCGCCATTAGTATCTGGTGTTCTAATGGCACACCACGTAGTGCGCCATTAGTATAGCCCACAGTGCGTCACTATTATCTGCTATACTTATAGCGCAGCACATGGTAGTGCGCCATTAGTAACAACTTTTTTAATTCTTTTCTTCTTAATCTCAGGTCACTATTTC